CACACTCCCGATACCACGGCGTAGTCGGAACCACAATGTCACCTTTCTTTACTGCCCGCCATACATACCCTTGGAACCGAATCCCTCCCTGCCCGTTTCCGTCAAGGAACAAGCGAGATACGCACTCCCTACGGCCTCCTCTAGTTCTCGACTGCACCTGACACTGACCCCGGCTAGGTTCATTCCTCCTCGTTCCGCCTTTTGCCTCTCAGTCCGTCACCTTCCTTCTCGCTCGCAACCGATCCGCCGTGCTCCACCTGCCCGGTACCCGTAGCCGCGCTGTCTTAGCTCCCGCCCAACAGTCGCAGTCGCCCTTGCCAATGCTCACCTCTCTCTGTTTGTACCCGGCGTGCTTTCACTTCTAGGTTCATTCATCCCTGCCCCGCTCGTCCGACATAGCCTCCACGCAGGTCATTTCTTCTCCATATTTTCTCTTACTCTCTCCCACTCTTACCTGACCCTTCCATTCGATTCGCCCAGGCCAAAACCCCGGGATCGCTCCTTCCTCTACCCAGATCCGTTCAGCAACGGGTGTATGCTCTATCTCCTTTCTTCCTCCTTCCCTTCCGCCATAACTCGCACAATATCTTTTTCTACTAACACCTTGTTTATCAATTCCCTACTAAAACTAACTTCAGGTTTAGGGTCGCCCGCCTCGAAAAGCCCCAGTTAGCACCTTACCTCGCCCGATTCCGTACAGGATTGGGCATGGTATCATATCCTTACCCCGGCCATATCCGTTTTCTCCGTTGCCTCCTCGGGGCACACTTTCTTCACTAACTCCTCTTTCTAATCGCTTTCTAACTAAACTAATCCAAAAATCGGGGCCGCCCACCTCGAAAACCCCGATATCACCTCTTACTTGCCCTCTCCCGCGAAGCTTCCCACAAGTCGCGTTCTTCTCGCTGCGCCCAGCTCGCTCTTCCGCCATCATCCGCTTCCTTTCCCCCGCGTGCACCTATAGTAGCTCCCCGTCCCGATTCTTTCACAGCCCAGCCGGCCTCGTCCTTGCTTCTCTCGTTCCGACAGTGCCCAATCCCTCTCGCTCGCTCGATTAGCGCAGCTTAGCCTGACATCCGGTCCTACCGCGTCCGGATTCGACAGGAGTCGACAACTGGGGAGGAAAAAAAAAAAAGCCAGAGCGCCGATGCGTTTCCCTGCTTTACGCATATCGACCTGGCGCAGGGGCCATGCTAATCTTCACCGAATCATTCCAATTTTGACGGATGTCCCGAAGGACTTCCCCCGCTGTCGGCGCCTTTTGGCGCTTTCAAAAGCCGTTCGCCCCCCCCCCCCCCCCGATTTCACTGAACGCACCCGATACGACTTCGCGTTCGGGTTCGCCTTAGCCTCCCTCACTACGCGCGAGCCCGCCGTCCAGATTCACAACACTTCATGCTACCTCGCTTCCTAGTCTTTAACGCCCGTCGCCTCTCCGCTCCCCCGTGCGCAACTCCGACAAGCTTTCCTTAACTGGTGTGGCTACAACCCCGACCGTGCTCTTCTTCTCGATACATTCTGGCGGAGAATCCCGCCAGGCTAGGTCCTCACCCGTTTCATTCCCGTCGCTCACGTTTCCGATGCCTCTTGTTAAGGTCAGCGGTGCTCGATAGTGGTCGTCCCCTCCGCGCTTTTGTGAAGACTACCCGACGGGTCCTACTGTGTTTTCGCGTCCACATACGGGCGCGACAATAATAATAACTAAATAAACTTAAAAATAATATATATATATATATATATATATATAATAAAAAAATACAAATGAGCAGTAGTCGGGCAGGGACCACGGCACCCCTCTCAGCCTGCCCGCCAGCCCCACGCTCGGCTCCGCGGCAGCAAAAGGCGAGGGGGATAGTCCCATAGGCCCATCAACCCCTCAAGCCTTTTCGCCACGCTCTACTGCTCCCTTTCTGCACGCTGTTGGCCTCGATCCTTGCGCCTGCTGCATACCAGTCCGATGCTATAACCTATAGGGCTAAGCCCAAGCCTGGTACTAGCAGGCCTGACTCACCTAATAAAGTGGTAGCCCCCGGTCTTTTGGGGCTAAAGGAGCCACCCTATGCCATTTCCTAACCCATACTCACACACATGACCACAAAGGGGCCGCGCCAACCTCCCGGCTGTGCCGTGGCTACCCTTACCTGGCCGAATCCATCAGGTCCCATCATCTGGATGTCGCGTAAGGCCACACTCACTCACTGACCAGTCCATCGTTCCACGCGGAACCAGAGAAAAGCGCCCATAGGTTAGTCAATTTAGTCAAAACAAACAATTGTTATAATGGAGCGCGTCGACCGATGTTCGTGCCACGTCTGCAAGTGTAACCAAAGAAAGGGAAAATCACGCGTGCCTCAAGCTTGGGCACCCACGCACTCTTTTATTCTCGTCAACCATCAAGTCAACATAAATTACGGATGCGGCCGCGCCTCGCGCGACATACTTAAACTTTAAACCAAACTGCTTTCTGTTGTTTGCAAAGACCAGGGCGGATACCCTTGTAAGGGTATTCGCACCGACAGCTTACCGGACCATATTAAGCGACGTCACCGTTGCTTCGGAGGATAAAAAAGCTATCAATTCAATCACAATCCCAAAGTGCTGACGAGCAGGGTACCAATCGGATTAACCGACAGACCCAGGGTTGAGGCCTCCAATAATCCATGTCAAACACAACTTTATGCCGCCAGGATTCTAACCTGGGTCTCCGTCGCCCTGACACTCAGACGTCGGGATACTCCTCACTGTACTACAGCATAAGCTCCATTGGATCTCTCACCGTCCCCTTCCTTGTGCCCTAGACAACCGCTGGCTTCTCGTTGTGTGCCCCTAGCCCTTTTCCTTGAAACCAAGTCGTGACTAGGCGCGCGGGCCCTAACCGAGACCTTCAAAGGCATTCTCTCGCCTTTCTCTAAAAAATCTTCACATTTAACATACGTAGCTGTACCACATAGACTCTCACATAAGCTCTCCTGCAGTCTAGTACAGGAAGAATAGGTCTCCATCTTGGCCCACCACAGTCTGGGTGATCATTCCAGATCTACGGCCCACCGCATTGTTATTTCAGCGGTAGTGTCTTCGCGGATTGCGCCACAATAGGCTGTTCCTGATAAGCATTCAATCAGGACTTCCTCAAAAGATTCGTATGACTCGACTCTTATCCCACGCCTCTCCGCAGGAGTAAAACCCTCCTAGGCGTTCACGCCCGTTTTAGTCTTTACTCCCTTGGCCAGACGCAGACCCTCTGCTCAGGTTGTGCCAAACAGGGGCCGACACCAAGGGTTGCGCCTTAGTGATGCTAGTTATACCCCTAGTCGGGTCGTCTTATAAATGTCCAAGATTAGCACAAATGGTCAGACGGTGTGTCGTAACAATACAAACCTACTGCGGGACAACGCATAGACGTGTCGCACATAAAAGGTATTTACCAGTTCCTCTGTGGGAGAACACAGGGGAAGCACGATAACCTCTCCATAATCACAAAACAAAAGTCACCGCCTGGTTCACAAGGTCGTGGCCTCCCAGCTTGATCAGAGCAAGAAAGTCACACACCTTGATGACATCTCTTAAAGCACACCGTTTGCGACATCAAAAAATTCCACCAATAGTCACGCAAAATTTGGTCCCTCTCGTCAGTCTTTTATTATTCAAAGTCAACCTTCCATTTATCAATCTATATAACTACCTTATTTATAGAGGAGGTCTTACTTTTAATAGGTCTCTCAGTCATCCCTCTCTCACTAGGATGAACTTTCTCGCGACCTTCTCTTTAACGCATCTTCCCTCTCTGAAGGTGCGTCTTCCAAATAGATAATGGACAACCTTTCCATTCACAGGTGTCCCACTCATCATATACTCCATATAAAAAGACCAACTTGTGGGTCTTCTGCACAGTTCAATGATTGAATACTCACCATACGAATATTCAGGATCCTCACATCCTTTCACAAGACAGACTGCGCTTCCTTGCCTTATACTCGGCCCTCTCATCCGCCCGAGGGCAGGTCACACGAGTATACCGGCGAGTAGACAGTTCATATTCATCCAAATTCACAAAGTACAAGATACATCAAGCATTTTCTCGCGCATATTTCACACCAAGCCATCATCTAGCAAAACTGGATCACACAAGTGAGTGTGAGAGTGATCGTCATATACAACAAGTAGTCGCCAGAAAAATGTCTCGATATAATGTACACTCAGGGATAAAATACCCCATACAAAAAAAAATGTCTCCATACTATGACTCACTCAACTCACTCAATCCACACTCACACTGGTATCCTGCTCAAAGTACAAGTTGGGTCTGTCTCTCGAAGATCAGGGTGTCAGCGAACTAAGTATGTACACGCCTCATCTACCCCGGTCCTCAAGAAACCCAACCCATACTGCCTGACAACAACAAACAACACCTAGGTCTACAGAATGTCATCCAATCCTGACTCTAGTCCTACATGCAACATGTCAACCATATAGGTAACTCAGTCATGATCGCTCATCTCCTCCTGGTTTTGCCTATATAACTGAGCCCTACCCCCATCTGCAGATCTCTTTACTCTCCTACCCTGCCTATTATACATCCTGCCTCCTTCCTCTGTAACCTTCCCTTCAGCCTTGTCCTTTAGGACATTGCAAGGCTCGATGCCCCTCCTTTGTACAGAAGAAGCAGGACATGTCGAACCACTTGGACCTCTTCTTTCCTCTCTGAGACCCTGACGATGATGGCGCTTCGCTGGCCTCCCTGCTCAGCTCATGGCTCTGAGGCATATCCAAGGGCTCCTCTCGTGCCTCCACCTCCTGGGTACTCGGTCCCGGTCGGTCCTCAATCCCCTCTGGCCCATACTCGGGCGTGCCCAACCTCTGGAGCCCGCCCTCGATGACACCATCAGCCTCAATCCTTATCTCCCTCTCAAGAGGCTCCTCTATCCTCCGCTCGGGTGAAAACAAACTAGCCTCCTCCTGCATCGAGTGCACTGCCTCAATGAGCACGTCCATAGATCCCTCTGCTGAGCCCTGAGCCGGCTCACTGCTGGATGGTGGTAATCCCTCCTCAACTACCAAAGGTATGAGTGGGCCTGCCGCTGCTATAGGTAGCGTACGAGCTCAGTAGGGGCTCTGAACTCGAAGGCCTCTCTCTCTGCCTCCCTCTGGGCTCTCGCCTCCTCTGGCTCCAGGATAACTCTCCCCATAGGTGGCTCCTGGCGAGTCTCTGCTGGAGATGAATGTCCTAGCAAACCATGTCCTGGCTGCCTCTGCTCTCCCTGTCGGCTGCTCTCTGGCTTGTCCACCTCTCCCTGAGATCGCTGCCTTAGGCTCTCAATGATAGCTGTCTGACTGGCCACCAATGCCCTGAGTTCTTGGATTTCCACCTCCATAGCCTCCAAGCGTACCCCATGGCCTACTTCCTTTATCTTCTTTCCTGCCAGATCGCTCTCCAATAGCAAGTGCCGGTCAAAAGTTGCCTTGGCCAGGAACTTGATTTTGCGATCCAACCTTTCTTCCGCCTTCCTTGCCACCCCGAACCCGACTCTGACTGGCGAAGGAAACTCCTTTCCTCTCTGCTCCCAGAAGTCCCTCCACATCTCAGGGATCTCCGGGGCCCTAGCTGGCGCGCTGGGTGGCTGACCTGGGAGCGCTCCTACTGCCTCCGATCTCTGCCTCTCCTCCTGCTGCTCCAGAAGCTCCCCTGCTGCCTTCAACCTCTGCCTCTCTTGCCATATCTCGTCTATCCTCCTGGTTCTTCTCGCCCTCTTTTCCTCTGCTGTCTTTCCAGCTGGCGCCCTTTCCCTCGTGCGAAGGTCAACCCTCTTTGGGATCTCTGCCTCCATCTCCTTCTTGGGCTGGCACGGCTCCTCGCGTGGCTCTGCAGGTGTTGGCTTTTCCAGGTCTGGGTGCTCCAGGGCATGAGCTGCTAGGTGTCTATCAATCAGGGTCAAGGCTTCTCTCCTTACAGCTGTCCTCTCTCTCCTCCTTTCTGCTCTCCCTTCTGGCGAAGGAGCCTTTTCTGATGAAGGTAATGGAGCCTCCTCTCTCTGCAACCTCTCCCCTGCCTGGCGAGTGCTCCACGGTGCATCCCCGAGTCTCAAACCCACCACTGGTGTCTGAGGGGGCGTGTCCTCTCCAACCTCTATCACTTCCTTCCCTGCATGCCTCTCCTCATCGCCCAACCCTCTCTCTCACTGAGTATCCTGGACCTCCTCCTGTAGCACCTCCTCTCGTGGCTCCTCCTCTGCCTGCTCTCCACGCTCTTCACCCTGAGGCGACGCTCTCCACTGAGAGATATCCAAGTGCGCCTCCAACTCCCTCAAAGGCTCCTCAGACGCTAGGAGCCCCTCCTGTGTGCATGCTGGTGACCTCCTCAATTCACCTTCGGCAAACCGATGGAACTCCACTGGTCCCAACCCACACTCAAGGTATGCGTCTCGCTCCTCAACCTCTGGCTCTGGCTCCTCCTCTCTCCTAGCTAGGGTCTTTTGTCCTTTTCGAGACGGTCTCACCTCCCTGGGCTCAGGGTCCCTCTGCCTCTGACTCCTCTGACGCCTCTCAACTCTGGGCTGAGGGGGCTCTGGCCGTCGAAAGGCCTCTCTCAGATGTGCCCTGCAGCTCTCCCAGTCCCGGGCCATGGTTCTGACTTGGTCAGCCAGTGGTCTTTCCGCCTTCCTGGTCCAGAGTGGTAGCGTCTGCATCCAATCATCTCTCGGTATACCCTGCCCCTGCATGAACCACTCAAACACAGGGATGAAGTCCGACGCATTTCCAATCTCCAGGCGGATCGGCCTGCCATCAGGTCCCACAGGCGAGGGTCGCAGCTCCTGCATCCTCCACTCCACCTCTGATCTCGTCATCGCCTCTCTACGGATCCGCGCAATGGGCTCCTCGAACCTGCCTGCTCCCCTCAGTCTCTCAATTGCCTAGGCCACGGTCCAGCCCATACGCCTCGCATGATCCCAAAAGCTGTCCAGGAATAGCTCGATGTCCCCATCATCGTATACCGGAGTACTCTCTCGATGGTGAGGCCCATGCCGCTCATATCCTCCTGATGCTCCCAACGACCTCCGAGGCGGCTGTGTCCCCCTCCCTCCTCTTGGCATGACTGTCTTCATAAAGTCAGACCTGCACAACAGACGAAAGGAGACAACAGGCACACATTGGGGTAAGCAAACAGGTGACAATCAAGCAAGCTCAGACCAGACCATACTCATGCAGCATACAACCTATCTGACCTACATAACCTATCGCTTCTATTCTAGAGGTAGTCAAATCGTCTCTCTTACCCCTTCTCTCGCCACAAATTTCTTCAATCGCGTTACAGATACCCAATCCTTCCACTCAGTCCTATTCAACTTCTCAATCTGGTACGCTCCGAAGTCTCCAACCCGTACGATCCGGTAGGGACCTAACCAACTCTTATCAAGTTTCCTGGACGACTGCTTTTCCAGCGATGAATCGTAGAGAAGCACGGCGTCCCCAACTGCCAGAGGTACTTTCCTCACCCGAGCAAACTGATCCCATCGAGTCTTATCATCCATACGACTTCTAGCCACTTGATCGGATGCTTCCTGGATCCTTTCCTCTATCGCTGCTATCTGTCGTGTCCGAATGTTGAGCAATTCCTCAAAGGACAGGTCGACTTCCAGATCCTGGCGCCTCCAAGTCTTGAGAAAGCTTTCAATAGGGAAGGTGGTGTGTCGTCCATACCACAACGTCGCAGGTGCGTACTTGGTGGATCTTTTTACTGTGATGTTCTCGACAAAGAATGCCGCCCTTAGGTACCTTGGCCATTGATTAGGTCTCCCTTCGGTCCACTTAGCCAGGAGACTCGTAATGGTACTTTGCCCTCTTTCCACCAGAGCGTTCGCCTGGGGGTGGGCGGCCGTGGTGTAGTTAGCTACTACACCATACCTTGAGAACAACTCTTGCACCTCCTGACAAGTAAATTCTGATCCCCTGTCCATTACGAATCCAATGACGAAAGGATAACGCTAGTAGTACTCCTTGATGCAGCTGACCAAGACTGAACCAGTCTTGGTACGAATGGCAGGTCCGTCTACGAAGCCAGACAGGTTATCGCGCGCATCGAAGATGTAGTTATAGCCCTGATCCCCAAGCGGCATGAAAAGTAGGTCGAGATGCACTACAACCCCTACCTCTCGCTCTAGCCTTGGATGCTCTCCTTGCCTCAAACGGGATCTCTCTTGGCAGGGTACGCAGGATCGACAAAATTTTCCGACCATGTCCATCATCCCATCCCAGTAGTACAACTCACTTATCTTGGCATACGTGGCTTGTACCCCTCGATGCCCTCCTACAATGCCATCATGAAGTGCTGCTACGACGTCAATCTGGCGGTTTCTTCCGCAGACGACTCTCCTGGGATTGCCCACTTCTCTTCTTACGAAAAGGTGACCGTCTCGCACAAAGTAGCGCAGCAGCATCCTCTGAGCTCTATCGCTTGCATCCCTTAGCCGCATCTCGCAAGACAAGAGAAGCCCCAGCTCTAGGTAAATCCCATCATACTCTTCTGCACGAAAGGCCTCTTTAATCTCCCCCTCCTCGAACTCGACGTTCTGGCTCTCGGGCACTTCGTCCACATTCCCTGTCGGGTTCAACGAGCTTGACTGGTCGAGGCTTTCCTGCAATAGCGTGTTGACGAGGAGATACATTCCTGCCATCGGATCCTCATGCCGTTCTACCTGGCCTGGTCCTTCCTCGATCGTTCTTATGTCTTCCACCAGATTATGCGAACTGGCCAGCGCCAGCTCCATCATCCACTGAACATCCTTACCTCCCCAAGGATCTTCTTCTTCAAAGGGTTTGAGGACTAGCTCTGCCCTCCTTTCATATCTGCTCGACGCTTGCCAGATAGGATAGCCCACACAGCTAGGCACTCGCGACGACCACTTATTGATATGGAGACGGACATCTTCCTCCTGATCCAGGAATCCATCAACGGGGGGCGTATTCTCCACCGCCTCTCCTTCTTGTTTATCCCAGTTGATGCGACTCAGCCCGTCTGCCCGGTTCTTGCTGCCAGGAATCCGCTCAAACTCGAAGTTAAACATCCAGATGCACGTCAGCCATCTGGCAACCGTCGGATCCGATGGAACGTAATTCCTCACAGAGTAGGCCAGGGCGGTCGGGTCCACTCTCAAAATAAACCTCATGCCGAAGATGTAGTTCTGGAAGATCCGTAGACAGTGGAGGACAGCAAGGGTCTCCCTTTTGAACTGAGAGTAGTTTCTTTCTGTCGTACAGAGAGTCCGACTCTCAAATCGCAAGGGTCTTTCCTTTCCTTCCACGTCTGTCTGAATTAGAACTCCTCCTTAGGCAGTTGGCCCCACATCTGTTTCAACAAAGAGGGTCGCGTTTCTGTGGCATCATTCTGGCCACTACCTCTTCTTTCTCTTCACCCCAAACCCACTTTTGATCCTGACGGACTAACTTCCTTAGGTGCTCAGTCTTAGCGGCGAAGTTCTTGACGAAGACCCTCCAAAATCCACACGTACCAAGGAAGCTCCTGACATCAGTTATTGAGTGGAAAGGAACTCGCTACTTAGTAATCTTGTCCGTCTTTTTCACATCCGGCCTTCGGCCCCTCTCGCTGCAGACGAACCCCAAGATAGTCGCTTCCCTCATGCAGTGTCTGGATTTGGCCCCGCTCGCTGTGAGGTTATGCTCCTCGAGCAGGCTCAGGACCTTATCAAGGTCCTGGATGTGTTTTCAAACAAAGCACCTTACCCCTAGCGAGACTTCGTCGCTCTCCTTCACTGCCGGCCCCTTCACTGCCAAATCATCGATGTATGACTGTGTGATATGAGGGCTGACTGACTGCATAACACGAATAATCGACGACGTGCGTTCGTATCTTACCGTCGAGGTAATCCACCACCTTCTTCTCCTCGTCCGGATTAGGATATCGCGCCCCTCTCATGTTCCAAGGTTCGTGTGGCACGGTGTGGATACTGATCATAGGTATCTTGTCCACATCCAGCCTGCCGCGCTCCTCGTCTCTAAACGCAGAGGCGCGATGCCTCCTCTTCATCAACTCCACCATCAACGTTCGCTCCTGAGGCAGTAGGAAGTCAGGTTCTCCTATAATCAACCTCCCCTCATTTCCTTCGTTGATACGACATGGTCCTGCTAGAGCACTTTCCCTCATTTGCCATATTAACCCTCGTTCCCTCTCGTAGTATGCTTCCTCGTCTTCCGTAACGAGGACGGGAACTGGGCGACACTTCTTGTCTACCGTCTTGTACCGCCTTTGGGAACCCTGCTTGAGCCGTCCCCTAAAAAAGGCCGACTCACAGATTGCGCCTGCGCGGACGCGGGGTTTCTTCTTCCGTTCGGAAGACGGTATACCAGCTCCAATCTCCCAGCCTCAGGGCATTCCAGAACTTGCTCCCTCAAGGCCTGGATGGCATCCGGATCCGCCATCTCATGTGTGGCCACCAAATCCATGGCCTTTCCGACGTCCGATAGGCTAAGGAAAAATTCTTTCACCTCTTCTTCTCCTTCCGGCTCCACCCGAAGTCTTCGGCGCTCGCCCTCCGATTCTTCGATCGTGAAGGATCCTGGGTTGGGTCGGTTCCTTATACTCCTCGTTCCTGTATTTCTGCAGGTAATTATCTCGTAATTCCCGCAGGCAGGGTCACAGAGGAGGAGGATCAGAGTACCGTCATGCTTGTTGAATATCACGGTTTCTGTCCTACTAAAAAATGACCTCCCTAGGAGGATCCCATGGTCCACGTCTGACATGATGAAGAAGCAAGCTCGGACCTTCACCTTTCCAACCTCGATGAGTACATTCGAGGCTGTCCCACAAAACACGGCCTCGCAGCTGGCACCGCGCAAAATACCGCAGTCAGATCGGTCTATGTCTAGCCCGAATCTGATAGCATCCGCCTCCCAGATGATGTTCATTTCCGCCCCGGTGTCCACCATTGCTGCACACTTGGAGCCTTTCACCACTAAATCCACCCTGCCACAGGCCACGCACTTCCAATCCATTTTCGTGCCCGACTCCGCCCACTCTGTCTCCTTGGGCAGGATCGTACCCAGATGGATGTTGGGCACCAAACGCCGCAACAACCTCCCTTTCAATTCATCGCGGAGTCGCAAGGCTGACGCTAGGATTTCCTTCAGGGTCATGAGGTCATTATGCCCTTCCAGCAGCCGGTCAATCACTTTCTCTACATCAAATCCCTCCTCCAACCGAACCGCGTATTTCTTCTTTTTGGGTGGTGCATCACGTATGACCGGCTCGGCCTCTCCCCTGGTCCCCTTTTTCCTTGCCCGCTGCTCCGCTCTCTGATCCTCTTCTCGGCGCAGCCTCTCGTCTTCTTCTTCTTTATCATCGTCGTCCTCCACTTTCACGGCCTCTTTCCTTCTTCCCGGTTCGGGCTCCCTCCTCGGAGGCTCTTGGCTGGCACTGGCCTTGGCTTGATTCCTAGTTCGCGCTGCTTGTGCCAGCCGGGCCTGCGGGGTGAGGGGTCTCCCCATCACCCCCGACTATGGGCTAGACCCTACCACATTTACTTCGGGTCGCCCAGGCGCTGATTCCGGGCCGGAGTCGTACAGGAACACGTTAGGGATGCTAGACTTCCATTCCCTCATCTCCTCACAGAGGCCTACCAACTTTTGTTGGTACCTTCCTATCTTATCCAGTAGGTCCTCCATTTTCCCCAATAAGACGGATGACGATTCCATCCTCCTTTCCTCGTCTTCATCATCCGATTCGATGATTATGGGCTCTTCCCTCTTACTTCCTCCACGTGGTCCTTGAGTCACCTCCTCGTCGCTCCCCACTTCCTCTACCCCAATCGGTGGTTCCTCCTTTTCCTGCCATAGCCTGAACGTGGCAGGGGGTGGCGGCCCGACTGTCGCCCTTCATTGGGCCTCCACTCTTACTCCTCCAAGCCTTCTGTCAATGACCTCCCCAAACTGATCGTAAATCTTCCCATCCATAGTGGAGGAGATCAGCCCGTTCCTCTCGTCTTCCCGTCTTATGTTACAAAACCTTATGGTGTGGCCTTGCTGGTCACAATGCTGGCAAATGGCCGTCTTCCAGTCAAAACGGGGTCTCCCATACCCCTGACTTCCCTGATCCCCCTGGCCTTGATACCCCTGGCCTTGGTACCCTTGGCCTTGATTCCCCTGGCCTCGGTACCCGTGACCTTGGTTTCCTCGGCCTTGACTATTCCATTGTCCTCCCCTTCCGCCACCATTCCTGCCTCACCCCCTTCCTCCACCCCTCCCTCTATTGCCTTGATTGCCCTGCTCCTGGTTCCCACCTCCAGCCACGCTTCCCTGTGAACTGGGAGCAGGTGACGGAGGCGGGGCCACAGGCTGGGCCTGGGCTGCGGGGTAGATAGGTGGCGGCATACTCATTTGTCGTCCGGCTACTGGCGGCGGGCTACCCCATGGCACAATTGCATTGATCATCGGCCTGGGCCACTGTCCGTAGGAGCGTGCCCCTCCTTGCGAGGGGCCCGCCTTAGACAAGGGCACCACCGCACTTGGAGAAGCTGCCGCCACTGCCTGAGGTGCCTGCGCTTTTCCTGATCCCTGTCCGCCCTGCGCCAAGTTACGCACTTTGCGCTGGGCCTTCGTCAGGTGCTGCGGCACCGGCACTTCCTCTTCCCAGAGCTTCTCCTGAACAGCCTCCTCTACCACCGGCTCCTTTCCTTTTACTCGGACAGCTGTCACTACCCTCCTCTGCACCACCAGCTCTGTCGCATACCCCAGCTGTGCCAATACGTCTGTAACAATCCTTGTTACCCCCGGGGTCCCAGAAGTGGTCGCATCTCTTTTCTTTCTCTTCTGCCTTTGCAGGCGTACCTGACGTTGCTCCACCTGGTCCAAACATCCAACTTCCACCCCTCTGTCAATGGTGGCCCAGGTGAGCTTAGTGCTACCTCCTCCATGTCTTGTTAACTCAATGGCCTCCGATGCCGTGAGTAGCCCCAGAAAAAAAGCGCACTGCGCCTCCTCTGAAATCCCATGGACCTTCCGTTCCTTTTTCTTGAACTCCTGGACAAAAGCCCCTATCGTCGTAAAATCCTCCTTGTTCATCGCCTCCAGGTCCGCGGTGGTCAGCAATCCATCCCACAGGCGGTACTTCCTTTGTATCCCCTCCTTGAACCTTTCCCAACCACCTTGGGCCGCATCTATAACTTTCTTCACCTCTTGATGGTAGCTGTGGAGGACATACTGGAGGATGCGTTGAAACTTCAAAACGTCCGACCGCCCAACCAAAGCTTGTTCTACCCGCTCCAGCCATTCAGAGACTCTTTCTCCACAAAAAATGGAACGTGTCGACCTTAGGGATATTGCTCGGGTTCCTTTCATGCCGGTCAATGGGCGCGATGAGGTCATCGAGCGTCAGGCCCTTCTTGGGAGCACCCGATGCACCGCCTGTTTCAGGCATCTTGACTGCCTCTTCTTTTCAAGCTTCCTGACAAGAGAAAAACAAACACATTCCCTTGTTCAACATTACACCTTGTGCAGTCTAATCCACCGGTTCTTACCTAACTCTTACTACATACTTTACTCAATACTAGCACAGTCGCCCCTCATAATTTCCCCTACCTCGGGAAGGTAAACTTTCTCATCTACACTTCGTCACTCATTATTTTTTCTCCTTACCTTCTCATCATTTCTTTATGTCTTTTCTCATTCATTTCTCATACCCGGATGTCGTTCCACCAGGGACAACGGTAGGCTTTCCGTTATCCCCGGCAACGACTCCACCTGTCGAGCGCATCGGTCCGGCACCGCACCAGGGCAGCGAGGGACCCTCCCAGCCGCGTCACGCAGGAGTTGGTTTAAAATCCTCCGTCGCAATGTACATGGAGCTTCCTTAAGCCGCTCCGGCCGAGTGCGCCAGCCATACTTCTCGCGAGGCCCTACGACAGGAAAGGGCCTACGCGAGGCACAACCTACCTCCACCTTATGGGAGCTGTCACCTCCCTTCGGTGAGCGTATCCTCGCCGAGCTACCAGTCCACAGTACGAAAGCTAATCAGTTGCAATCGCAAAGGTGGACCAGCCGAGGGCGTTTCTCGTTCGCTGTAGCATAGGGGGTACGCGCAGTAATACGCCTCTATTGAACCCGCACGCGAACCGACATCATGGAGGGCTGAGGTCCTAAGCGTGACTCGTCGTCGGTCGACTAGGACGCATCCCACACACCACGCGCACACCACTTTACGAACACAAAAATAAAACCCATACACAAAAATACGAGATAACACAATATAAACAACGCGACAACCCTCCTAGCCCCTCGGTAGTCGCCCCATAACTTGCTGATACAGAAATCAGATAGGCGTCACGCGCGAGACTTAATATAAATCCGTGTGGACACAGGGTTATCGCATATCGACTCGCAATGCAAACGTGCGCAAGCGTTCGCAATGAGGGCGTACTATGTGGTACCCATGCTCACGCGATCCCTGTTAATAGCGAGGGTCGCGTTCGACACTCAAGTGTCGGCTGACACGCGCCTTGAGGGTTAATCTCTCGACGCTGGACAACCGCCATGCGCGGTTGAAGACCACACCCTCTTCTGCGCTCTGTGTAGACGGGTTGAGTAGACAGCTTTAAGTTGTCGTGGCGGTCGAACATCAAGGGGTTTGACTTTGACGGCTGCCACGGACTATAACGTCCAACTACAAAAACTCCAAAGAGCAAACGATAAGGAATGGGCCGAAGGTTCCCCGCCTTATAAACAAAATTATAGCCCTGGGGTACCCTCCCTTTTTTCGCGCGGCGTTGACGGCCTATAACAATCTCAAAGATTTGCCCATATGTGTCGATCCCTTTCTAATCCCATAACTCTTTACACACTAGCGCGACAAAACGTCGCGCGCGGGATTTTAATATAAAGTCGCGCAGCCGAGGGCCTATCACATACCAACCCGCAATGCAGGTGTACGCATGCAGTCGCAACGATGGCGTACTATGTAGTGTCCATAATCAAGCGGTCCCTCGTGCATCCAAGCGCTGCTTATGACACTCAAGTGTTAGACTCGAAGTGTCGTGAGGGTCTGATCCTTCACGACATTGCACGACTGAAGGAATAGCCGTGCGGCCGCCACGAGACGTCCGGCCTTTGGTCTGAGCGTCTCGGTAGGTAAGGCAAATAGGCTATGCTCGAGGGAAAACCCCTTCCCTTCAGAGCCTAGGGCTTGGGATGTCCTGGACAAGGACCTCGAATCCCAGCCCAGGACCAACGTCCGACTAAGAAAAATCCTTAAGAAGTAAAACCAATAAAGGGAAGGGTTTTCCCTAGGCCTCTTAGTCTTAACCCTGGAGCAGGCTTTTAATACGGGGCCCTTTAGCCAATGCAAGTATTCATCCCAGGTATACCCATATACACACATATAAAACAGGGGGAAGTATGTGACGATCACTTCTCACAGTCTCATTAGGGTCCCTCACAGCTATACGTATATATGTGGTTGCAGGCAACCACATCCTGAATCTGATTCATAGCACATACCTGCGAATCACATCAACGAGTCGATCGACAGCCCACGCACTACACGGAGTCAGCCCCAACCATCTGCAACACTCATACCCCTCGCTTTAGCCATGCAAACCCCAATCTCCTGTCTAACCACACCTTAATTAAAATACTTAGTACCTTTGTTAAATGGCCATTCAATAAAAGTCCGGGTGAAACCATAACGAAACAATGAAAATCACCAGGGCTAAAGTCTTTTAGGTTGGGTGTGGAGGGTGAGTTGGAATTGAGTCGTAAACCGACGAATCGGCAACCGACCTGTTATCAGTGATACAGATAATGACCCTCAAGGGATCAAGCTGAATCTAGTCCTAACCTTGAATCAAACAACCCGAAGGACCAGTAACATAAGATAGGTCAAATGCCAGGCTAAATCGTCAACATATGGGGGATAAACCTCCATAGCACACCTCCTTATAATACTCTCTAGCGTCACCTGTCGAAAATAAACTAACTCCTCTGAAAAATAGGAAATTTAAACTAACTCCTCTGAAAAATAGAAAATTTCGGCAGCGCTTTCCGTAGGAAAAGTGCCCTCTCAGAATTTATATAAGCCCAAATATGAAATCAGAAATAACCCTTGAATCTCCAAAGTCCAATTTTGTCTAATTCCCTGAATTAGCAAAATTTTGGGCAGCACTCTATTTAGAAAAAGGGGCTTCTCATAATTTTACTAAGCCATATATGAAATCTGGACAAGTCGAACCTTTTGAAAAGTCGAAAATTTGATTAACTCCCCGAATTAGTAAAAATTTGGGCAGCACTCCCTTTACAAAAGGAGGCTTTCCAGATTTTTAATAAGCTAGATACAGCGAAAAAACAAGTCAAGCTTTGGCAAGCCAAACTTTTGACTAACTCCCTGAATTAGCAAAAATTTGGGCAGCACTCCCTTTAGAAAAGGAGGCTTTCCAGATTTTTACTAAGCTAGATACAACGAAAAAACAAGTCAAGCTTTGACAAGCCAAACTTTTGACTAACTCCCGGAATTAGCAAAAATTTGGGCAGCACTCTCTTTAGAAAGGAAGGCTTCCCAAATTTTTACTAAGTCAGAAAGACAAGTCAAGTTTGGACAAGGCAAAAATTTGATTAGCCCTTTGGATTTGTAGAAATTTCGGCAGCGCTTCCCGTAGAGAAAGTGACTTGCAAAGATTTATACAAAGCCAAGTATAAGAAAGGATCCCTGAAAATACGAGAATTGACCTAAGTAAAAAAAACTTAGCTCAGAAAATGCAGGAATTGAAATTAACTCCTATGGCTCTAGCACGTGGCGAGCGACTAAAGCAACTACCTATCAAACTGAAACTCAGACAAAGTAGTAGCCTCACTCAGTCATATGCAGGCCAAACCACAAAGGTAAGTATTCTTACCTTCCCAAAGTCAACCTGAACAAACAAAATTTCATGATCTCTCAATGATTTAACCCTTTGTACCCGGCTTACATAAGGTATAGGTCAGGCATCCTTAACTTACAGAACAGCTCAACTTAGCCAGACCTAGAGTCGGAATACTAAACTTATAGAGCGTTCTGACTTCGCCAAATATACACAAACAGAGGGTACAACTACTTTTCTCTTCTTTGGGCACATGACTAGACCACTCTAGTCGCCCTGGACTGTTTAAAGTATCCAAGTTATATATACTTATCTTTACCTTTGTCTTCTAAGGCTGCATATGACTGAACTAACTTAAGTTCAGCCTGCCACAGTTTACCATCAATTCTATTCTTACTTGTACTTTATTCAAGTTGTGATACGGCTATAGTCAGACCACCTAAACTTATAGAACAGTCTGATTAGCTCGTTCTTAGATAGAGTAGTGATAAGGTATAGCCAAGTTATAACCATTGGGTTCCAGCATGTGCGAGGCTTTGAGCCAGACCCCCTGAACTTACAGAAGGGTCTTAACTCTCTGCCAGATTCGTTTCTATCTGAGCCATTATGTGTGTGGCATCGAGTCAAACCCCCTGAACTTACAGAAGGGTCTGCCTCTTTGCCAAGATTAATTCTTCAGAATAAAGAGGAGGAAGGGACGGAGCTACCTGAACTTACAGAACAGCTCGGTCTCCTCGTTCAGAAACCAAAGAAACAAGTAAAATCCCAATGAAAACAAAGCAACCCAAGGCACCAAAACTTATTGAGCGCCCCGAGTCCTTGAAAATCAAGCACAATCAAACCCTTCACAGGTCAGAGCAATCAGACCACCTGAACTTACAGAACAACCTGACCCTCCATGCAAACCATATCACTGGGTCTCCCCAGGAAGCCATTGACAGAAGGCTTGGAGGAGTGAGGGCGAAAGCCCAATGAAGGGTGGCAGCTGGGCTGCCACCCCCTGCCATGTTCAGGCTATGGCAGGAGAAGAAAGGACCGTCGGTGGGGATAGAGGAATTCAGATTATGACAGGAAAAGGAAGAACCACCGATTGGGGTAGAGGAAGTGGGAAGCGATGAGGAAGTGACTCAAGGGCTGCGAGGAGGAAGTAAGAGGGAAAAACCCATAATCATTGCGTCAGATGACGAGAATGAGGAAGAAGGGATGAAACCTTCGTCCGTCTTGCTGGGGAAAATGGAGGACCTGCTGGATAAGATGGGGAGGTACCGACAGAAGTTGGTGGGCCTCTAGGAGGAAGTGAGGAAATGAAAGTCCAACATCCCCAAGGTGTTCCTCTACGACTCTGGTCCGGAGTCAGCGCCTGGGCGACCCAGAGTAAATGTGGTGGGGTCGTGCCCACAATCAGGAATAATGGGGAGACCCCTCACTCCGCCGGCCCGGCTGGTGCAGGCAGCACGAACGAGAAATCAAGCCAGAGCCAGCGCCAGCCAAGAACCTCTGAGGAGGGAGCAGGAACCAGGAAAAAGAAAGGAGGCTATGAAAGTGGAGGATGACGACAATGAGGAGGAAGAGGACGAGAGGCTGCGCAGGGAGGAGGATCAGAGAGCGGAGCAGCGGGAAAGGAAAAAGGGAGCTAGGGGAGAAGCCGAGCCGGTCATACGTGACGGACCGCCCAAAAGGAAGAAGTATGCGGTTCGATTGGAGGAGGGGTTTGACGTGGAGAAAGTGATCGACCTGCTGCTGGAAGGGCATAATGACCTCATGACCCTGAAGGAAATCCTAGCGTTGGCCCCGCGACTCCTCGATGAACTGAAGGGGAGGTTGTCGTGGCGCTTGGTGCCCAACGTCCATCTGGGCACGATTCTGCCCAAAGAGGCAGAGTGGGCGGAGTCAGGCACAAAGATGGATTGGGAGTGCGTGGCCTGCGGCACGGTGGATTTAGTGGTAAAAGGCTCCAAGTGTGCAGCAATGGTGGACTCCGGGGCGGAAATGAACATCATCCGGGAGGCGGATGCGATCAGATTCCGGCTGGATATAGGCCGTTCTAACTGCGGTATTCTGCACGGAGCCAGCTGCAAGGCCGTATTTTGTGGGACAGCCTCGAATGTACTCATCGAGGTTGGAAAGGTGAAGGCACGGACTTGCTTCTTCATTATGCCGGACGTGGATCACGGAATCCTCCTAGGGAGGTCATTCCTAAGCAGGACGGAGACCGTGATATTCAATAAGCATGACGGGACGTTAATCCTCCTCTTATGCAATCCTACCTGCGGGAATTACGAGATAATTACCTGCAGGAACACAGGGCCAAGTAGTATAAGGAACCGGCCCAATCCATAATCATTCATGATTGAAGAGTTGGAAGGTGAGCGTCGGAGGCTCCGGGCAGAGCCCGAAGCAGGAGAGAGGGTGGAAGCATTTTCTCTCAGGCTGTTTGATGTTGGGAAGGCCATGGACTTGGTGGCCGCGCATGAGATGGCAGACCCGGATACCATCCAGGCCTTGAGGGAGCAGGTTCTGGAATGCCCCGAGGCAGGAAGGTTGGAGCTGGTATATCGGCCCCCCCGGCAGCGGAAGGAACCCCGCATCAGCACAAGCACAATCTGTAAGTCGGCCTTTTTTAGGGGACGGCTCAAGCAGGGTTCCCAAAGGCGGTACAAGACGGTAGACAAGAAGTGCCGTCCGGTTTCCATCCTCGTTACAGAGGACGAGGAAGCATATTACGAAAAGGAACGAGGGTTGATACGGCGAATGAGAGAGAGTGCTTTAGCAGGACCGTGTCGTATCAATGAAGGGAATGAAGGGGAGTTGATTGTAGGGGAGCCCGACTTCCTGCTGCCTCAGGAGCGAAAGTTGATGGTGGAGTTGATGAAGAGAAGGCATCGCGCCTATGCGTTTAGTGATGAGGAGCGAGGCAGACTGGATGTGGACAAGATACCTATGATCCATATCCACACCGTACCACACGAGCCTTGGAACATGAGAGGGGCGCGATATCCTAATCCTGACGAGGAAAGGAAGGTGGTGGATTACCTCGACGACAAAATACGTACGCACGTCGCCGACTATTCGAGTGGACCGTATGCATCCCCGTGGTTCTGCTTTATCAAGCCTAACGGGACGCTGCGGTGGGTGCAAGATTTGCAAAGACTGAATGCGGTGACCGTGCGGGATGCTAGAGGATTGCTCAATGCAGACGCGCTGTCAGAATCCTGTGTTGGAAGGCCTATAATCTCACTTATAGACCTTTACTCAGGATATGATCAGTTCCTCGTCTACCCGTCAGACAGGCCTGTGACGGCTATGCACACGCCGCGAGGGCTAATCCACAAGAACGTGGTCCCACAAGGGTGGACCAATGTGGTAGCAATGGTCCAATGGGCCATGATTCGGGGTTTTGCAGTCAATCAGCCCCCATATCATACAGCCATACATCGACGATTTGGCAGTGAAAGGGCCGGCGGTGAAAGAGAGCGACGAAGTCTTGCCAGGGGTAAGGCGCTTTGTTTGGAAGCACATCCAGGACCTCGAAAAGGTCCTGAGCCTGCTCGAGGAGCATAACCTCACAGCAAGCGGGGCCAAATCCAGACATTGCGTGAGGGAAGCGACCATTTTGGGATTCGTCTGCAGCGAGAAGGGCCGAAGGCCGGATGTGAAGAAGACAGACAAGATTACCGAGTGGCCAGTTCCGTTCCACTCAATAACTGATGTAAGAAGCTTCCTTGGTACGTGTGGATTTTGGAGGGCTTTTGTCAAGAACTTTGCCGCTAAGACAGAGCACCTGAGGAAGTTAGTCCATCAGGATCAGGAATGGGTATGGGGTGAAGAGCACGAAGAGGTGGTGGCCAGAATGAAGGAGGAATTTCAAGAAGGAGGGTTGGTGTTAGGAGCGCCAGATTATGATGCCACAGAAACACGACCCTTCATTGTCGAAATAGATGTGGGGCTAACTGCCTTAGGAGGAGTTTTAATCCAGGCAGACATAGAGGGAAAGGAAAGACCCCTGCGATTTGAGAGTCGGACCCTCTGTACGACCGAGAGGAACTACTCTTAATTCAAGAGGGAGACCTTTGCTGTCCTCTACTGTCTGCGAATCTTCCGGAACTACATCTTCGGCAGGAGGTTTATTTTGAGAGTGGATCCGGCCACGCTGGCCTTCTCTCTAAGGAATTACGTTCCATCGGATCAGACGGTTGTCAGATGGCTGACGTACATCTAGATGTTCAATTTCGAATTGGAACGGATTCTTGGCAGTAAGAACCGGGCGGACGGGCTGAGTCGGATCAACTGGGATAAACAGGAAGGGGAGGCGATGGAGAACACACCTCCAGTTGATGAATTTCTAGATCAAGAGGAAGATGTTCGTCTCCACATCAATAAGTGGTCACCGCGAGTGCCCAGCTGTGTAGGCTATCCCATCTGGCAGGCGCCGAATGGGTATGAAAGGAGGGCTGAGCTAGTCCTCAAACCCTTTGAAGAAGAGGATCCCTGGGGTAGTAAGGATGTTCAGTGGATGGTGGAGTTAGCGCTGGCCAACTCGCATAGCCTGGTGGAGGACGTGAGGGCGATTGAGGAAGGGCCTGGCCAGGTAGAAGGGTATGAGGACCTGATGGGAGGAATATATCTCCTCGTCAACACGTTATTGCAGGAAGGCCTCGACCAGTCAGGCTCGTTGAACCCGACAGGGAATGTGGACGAAGTGCCCAAGAGCAAGGACGACGAGTTCGAGGAGGGGGAGATTAAGGAGGCTTTTCGTGCAGAGGAGTACGATGGGATCTACCTTGAGCTGGGGCTTCTTCTGTCATGTGAAATGTGGCTTAGGAATGTAAGCGATAGAGCTCAGAGGATGCTGCAACGCTATTTAATGAGAGACGGCCACCTTTTCGTGAGAAGAGAAGTGGGGAACCCCAGGAGAGTCGTCTGCGGTAGGAATCGTCAGATCGACGTCGTAGCAGCGCTTCACGATGGCATTGCAGGAGGGCATCGAGGGGTACAAGCCACGTATGCCAAGATAAGTGAGTTGTACTACTGGGATGGGATGATGGACATGGTCGGGAAATTCTGCCGATTCTGCATACCCTGCCAGGAGAGATCCCGTTTAAGGCAAGGAGAGCCACTGCATCCAAGGCTAGAGCGAGAGGTGGGGGTTGTAGTGCATCTCGATCTACTTTTTATGCCGCTTGGGGATCAGGGCTATAATTATATCTTCGGTGCGCGCGATAACCTGTCTGGGTTCGTAGACGGGCGTGCTATTCGCACAAAGACCGGGTTAGTCCTGGTGAGCTGCATCGAAGAGTACTATCTACGCTATCCTTTCGTCAGGGAATTCGTAATGGACAAGGGATCGGAGTTTACCTGCCAGGAGGTGCAAGAATTGTTATCAAGGTATGGTGTAACAGCCAACTACACCACGGCCGCGCACCCCCAGGCAAATGCTCTCGTGGAGAGAGGACATAGTACCATTACGAGCCTCCTGGCTAAGTGGACCGAAGGTAGGCCTGATCAATGGCCAAGGTACCTAAGGGCGACATTCTTTGTCGAGAACATTACAGTAAAAAGATTTACCAAATATGCACTGGCGACACTGTGGTATGGAAGGCACGCCACCTTCCCTATCGAGAGCTTTCTTAAGACATGGAGGCGCCAGGATCTGCAAGTTAACCTGTCATTTGAAGAGTTGCTCGATATTCAAGCGCGGCAGATAGGGGGGATAGAAGAAAGGATCCAGGAGGCGTCTGATCAGGTGACGAGAAGCCGTATGGATGATAAGGCCCGATGGGATCAGTCCGCGCGGGTGAGGAAAGTCCCCGTGGCAGTTGGGGATGTCGTGCTTCTCTACGATTCATCGCTAGAAAAGCAGTGGTCCAGGAAACTCGATAAGAGGTGGTTAGGTCCCTACCAGATCGTACGGGTTGGAGATTTCGGAGCATACCAGATTGAAGAGCTAAATGAGACTGAGTGAAAGGATTGGGTATCTGGAACGCGATTGAAGAAATTTGAGGCGAGAGAAGAGGTAAGAGAGATGACCTGACTGCCTTTAGAATAGAAGTAGCAGGGTGTGTAGGCTAGGTAGGATGCATGTTGTATGAGTGTGGTCTGGTCTGGGCTTGCTTTGATTATCACCTGTTTGCTTACCCCAATGTGTGCCTGTTGTCTCCTTCGCCTGTTGTGCAGGTCTGACTTTACGAAGACAGCAATGCCAAGAGGAGGGAAGGGGACACGGCCGCCTCGGAGGCCGATGGGAGCATCAAGAGAATATGAGCAGCATGGGCCTCGCCATCGAGAGAGTACTCCGGTGTACGACGATGGGGACATCGAGCTATTCCTGAACAGTTTTTGGAATCATGCGAGGCGTATGGGCTGGACCGTGGCTCAGGCGATTGAGAGATTGAGGGGAGCAGGCAGGTTCGACGAGCCCATTACCAGGATTCTTAGGGAGGCGACGACGAGGCAGGAGGTGGAGACGAGGATGCACGAGCTGCGACCTTCGCCTGTGCGACCAGATGGCAGGCCGATCCGCTTAGAGATCGGAAATGCGGCAGATTTTATTCCTGCCTTCGAGTGGTTCATGCAGGGGTAGGGTATACCGAGAGATGAGTGGGCGAGGACGTTACCCCTCTGGACCAGAAAGGCGAAAAGGGCACCGGCTACGCAGGTCAGGGACATGGCCTGGGACTGGGAGAGCTGCAGGGCACATCTGAGAGAGGCCTTTCGACGACCAGAGCCCCCTCAGCCCAGAGTCGAGAGGCGTCAAAGGAGTCAGAGGTAGAGGGACCCTTAGCCCAGGGAGACGAAACCGTCTCGAGGAGGACGGAAGGCCCTAGCCAGGAGAGAGGAGGAACCGGAGCGGGAGCCAGACGCTGAGGATCGAGGGGCATATCCTAAGTGTGGGTTGGGACCAGTGGAGTTTCATCGGTTTACCGAGGGTGGAGTGAGGAGGTCGCCAGCACGCACGCAGGAGGAGCCGCCCGCATCTGAGGGGCCCTTGAGGGAATTGGTGACGCATTTGGATATCTCCCGGTGGAGGGCGTTGCCTCGGGGCGAGGAGCATGGAAAGCAGGCAGAGGAGGTACCACGAGAGGAGGTATCATGAGAGGAGGTGCCACAGGAGGAGGTACCACGAGAGGAGGTGTCACGAGTGGAGGTGCCACGAGAGGAGGTCCAGGATACTCAGCGAGAGAGAGTGTTGGGCAATGAGGGGAGACGTGCAGGGAAGGAAGTGATAGAGGTTGGAGAGGACACGCCCCCACAGACGCCAGCGGTGGGTTTGAGACTCGGGGATGCGCTAGGGAGCACTCGCCAGGCGGGGGAGAGGTTGCAGAGAGAGGATGCCCCATTACCTTCATCAGGAAAGGCTCCTTCGCCAGAAGATAGGGCAGAAAGGAGGACAGAGAGGGCAGCTGTAAGGAGAGAAGCCTTGATCCTGATTGACAGACACCTAGCAGCTTATGCCCTGGAGCACCCAGACCTGGAGGAGCCAGCACGTGCAGAGCCTCGCCAGGAGCCGTGCCAGCCCGACAAGGAGATGGAGGCAGAGATCCCGAAGAGGGTCGACCTCCGCACGAGGGAAAGGGCGCCTGCTGGAGAGACGACTGAAGAAAAGAGGGCGAGAAGAACCAGGCGGATAGATGAGATATGGCAAGAGAGGCAGAGGTTGGAGGCAGCGGGGGAGCTTCCGGAGCAGCAACAGGAAAGACAGAGATCAGAGGCAGCAGGAGCACTCCCAGGTCAGCCACCCAGCGCGCCAGCTAGAGCTCCGGAGATTCCAGAGATGTGGAGGGACTTCTGGGAGCAGAGAGGAGAGGAGTTTCCCTCGCCAGTCAGAGCCGGGTTTGGGGTGGCCAGGAAGGCGGAAGAGAGGTTAGATCGCAAAATCAAGTTCCTGGCCAAGACAACTTTTGACCGACACTTGTTATTGGAGAGCGATCTGGCAGGGAAGAAGATGAAGTAAGCAAGCCATGGAGTACGCCTGGAGGCTATGGAGGTGGAAAGTCAGGAACTCAGGGCATTGGTAGCCAGTCAGGCAGCTATCATTGAGAGCCTGAGGCAGCAAACCCAGGGAAAGGTGGACAAGCCAGAGAGCAGCAGGCAGGGAGAGCAGAGGCAGCCAGGACGTGGATTACCGGGACAGCCGTCTGCTGCAGAGCCTCGCCAGGAGCCACCTATGGGGAGAGTTATCCTGGAGCCAGAGGAGGCGAGAGCCCAGAGACAGGCGGAGAAAGAGGTATTCGAGTTCAGAGCCCCTACCGAGCTCGCGACGCTGCCAGTAGCAGCGGTTGACCCAGTCGTTGAGGAGGGGCTACCACCATCTAGCAGTGAGCCGGCTCAGGACTCAGCAGAAGGATCCATGGGCGTGCTCCTTGAGGCGGTGCATACTATGCAGGAGGATGTGAGTTTGTTTTCACCTGAGCAGAGGATAGAGAAGCCTCTTGAGAGAGAGATAGGGATTGAGGCAGAGGGTGCCATCGAGAGCGGGCTCCAGAGGATGGGCACGCCTGAGTATGGGCCAGAGGAGATTGAGGAGCAGCCCATGGAAGTGCCAGGAGAGACACTCGAGAGGAGACCTCAGAGGTTGAACACGCCTGAGTACGTCCCAGTGACAGGGGATTTGAGGAGCAGACTGGGATCTTGGGCTACTGGATCTGGGTTTGGGGGACCAGTTCCTGGGACAGAGCAGTAGGAGGTCGTTAGTACTGCAGCTCCTCGATCAGAGGAGCAGGGGGTTGTCAGTACCTTGGTAGGATCTCCTTCATCACCACCTCCGGAGCCCAAGAAAAAGAAGTTCAAGAGGAAGGTTGATCAACTATGCTTCTACTGCAAGAGGGGCGTGCATCTGGCTCTGGATTGTCTCGAGTTCCTTGAGGATAAGGCAGCAGGGAAGGTCTCAAAGGTAGGAGGTAAGATGTATGATAGACAGGGTAGGATAGCAGAGAAGTCCGCAGATGGACTTAGGGCTCAGTTATATAGGCAAAACCAAAAGGAGTTGAGGAGGTAGGGTCGGTTTTTCTATGTAAGTGGACAAGTATCTTGTGAGGCATTAGCTTAGGTTCTGTGTGATACCCTCTTAGACTTAGAGGACCTTTTGATGATTGCTACTAGTCTAGATCTGAACTCTAGTGTTCCTACTGAGTTGGGGTCTTGAGGATCAGGGTGATTTAGATGAGGCATGTACATATTTAGGTGGCCTACGCTCTGACCTTTGAGAGACAAATCTGACATGTATTCTAGGGGTAGTTGTCAGTGTGGGTTTGGTGTGGCTTGAGTTGAGTGAGCTATGATTAGGAGACACTTTCTGTGTGAGACATTTTATTCCCTGAGTGTATATTATGATGAGGTTTTATTTCAGGGACCATTCTTATATGTGACGGTCACTTGTCTCTCTCACATGTGTGGTTGTACTCTGATGTATGATGAGTTTGTGTGGACAGTGTGTGAAAAACATCTTATTTTGTCATGGGTACAGTGAATATGATTGTAAGCAAAACTGTCTACTCCTCGGTATATTTGTGCGACCTGCCTACGGGTAGCTGACAAGGCAGAGTATAAGGGGAGAAAGTGCAGTCCGTTTGTGAAAACTTGTGAGGATTTTGAAGGTTTATGAGCCCTGGAGGCTCAAAAAGCTTACCATGTTGATTATTGATTGCTTAAGTTGTGATGAGGACCTATAAGATGGTCTTTCAATGATGTTTTGTTTTATGATGAGAACCCCTTGGATTTTTGAAAAAGGGGATGTTTTTGTGATGATGTGTGTTATGATGAGACCCCACGAGTTTTGAGGAGGGAAAGTTTGGTTTTATGGCGAAACCCCTCGTGATTTCTGGGAGAGGGAGTGTATTGTTTTATGGCGAGACCTCTCGTGATTTTTGGAAGAGGGGGTGTTTTGTTGAGAGCCCCTTTGGATTTTTGAAAAAGGGGAATGGTTTATGGTTGGAAGACTCACCCTCAGAAGTGAGTAAATTGATTTATAGCATGACGAGTTGTTTGATGGGTGATAAAGTCTGACGGAAAGGGCCACCTTTTTTTGGAATGTTTGAGAAAGTCGCAATGAGTGAAGGGCGAGAGACGCCTCAGGACGGGTAGTTGCTGACTCTGATCAAGTCAGGGGTCACGGCCTGGTGGACCTAGCGGTGATTTTGTTTGTGAGCGTGCGAAGGATGTCATGCCTATTGTGGAAGGGCTGGTAAATGCCTTCGGACCCCTGCGTTTCGCGCAGTGAGCCTGTGATTTTGTCTTACGACGCTTCGCCTAACCACCTGCGCTAGTTCTGGGACATATTGAAGAAAGGTCAAGCTAACGGAAAAAAAGTTAGTACCTTTGGGGCGTAACCCCATTGGATGGCTGCTAGCCGGCGCAACCTGGCTGTGGGACCGCGGGGTAAGAGTTTAAGGGGGGTGCCCACCCCAGTGAAAATTACTCCGCGGGATAGTGATGATTGAGAATTTTTGGAGGAATCCTGATAGGATGCTTATCAGGAAAAAACCTATCGTTGAGTAACCAATGAGGGGTACTACCGTTAAAATAACAATGCGGTGGGCCGTAGTCCTGGCCCGATCAGCCAGGCTATGGTGGGCCAAGGTGGAGACTGAGCCTTTGTGTACTAGACTGCAGAAAGGGCTGAGCGGATATTAAGTATACATATATGCTTATGTTTATTTGATTGCGAGAGATTTTTTGAGAAGGAAGGCGAGAGTGCCTTCGAAGGTCTCGATTAAGGCCCGCGTCCTTAGTTTTTGCCTGGACTAGGGACACCCAACGAGAAGCCGAAGGTTGTTTAGGACAAGGGAGAGGACGATTGGGAAGGTCCTTGGAACTTATGCTGTCAGTGTCCTAATTTCAGGGCGGTAAGAGGCCTGGGTTAGAAACCTGGCAGCATATAGTTGTGGAGGCACGGTTTGATGGAGGCCTTTACCCTGTGTTTGTCGGCTAATCGGAATTGGCTTATTTTCCGTCAGTATTTGGAGTGTGGGTGGGTTTATAACATTCTGATTTGGCGAGACGTCGCTTAATATGGTCCGGTAAGCTGTCGGTACGAATACCCTTACACGCCCTGTTTTTTTCCAAGTGAAAGGAAAATAGTTTTGGTTTAGAGTTTAAATATACCGCGCTAAGCGCGGCGGCGTCTGTAATTGCATTGACTGGGTGGTTGACCACAATAGCGAGTGCGTGGGCGCGCAGGTTTAAGGCGCGCGTGATCCTTTTCTGTTGTTGATCGTAAAGCCAGCCCGGACCTTGGTCGTTTTTTGCTTGGTGATATTATTATTATTTATTTATTTTTGATTAAGCAGGAATTAAGGATATTTTCCTTTGATTGGTACATTTGACCGAGCCGAGCGCACGTGCGAAAAACGACCCGACGACGGCATCGGCGACAACAGCGCGACTTCATGCGGTGAACGGGGAGTGTAGGATGGTGCGCGGGGCAATTATGGCACGGTAAGAGCAAGCCGGCGCTGGCACTGGGAGCCGCACAACTGGTTTGTCGGGCCAAAGCGCCGCACCGCACCACCTTGTATGGTACTCTGCGGGGGCTGGTCTCAGGCTTGGGCATAGCCCTATAGGTTAGAGCATTGGAATGATACTCAACAGGCGCAGGGATCGAAGCCACCAGCATGCGACTAAGGAGCGAAGGAGTCGGACAGAAAGGGCTTGAGGAGTTGATGGGCCTGTGGGATTATCCCCCTCACCTTTTGCCAATGGACGTAATGATGGGTTCGACCCGCGGCACTGGCGAGGTGCCAGCAGCTCACCTGTTCCTGTCTGAATATTTATCTTGCTTTATTTATTTTATTTGTTCTTTTTATCTTAGTTTTATTTTACTTTATTATTTTTATTTTTACTTTTCCCACGGCTATTGGCGGCCCCGTCCTATTTTGGGGCGCGGTACCGTGTCAATGCCTGGGAAGCACTTAGAACCGAGGGGAAAGGGTGGAGCGACGAGCCGTCAGAGGTATAAGTCTGAAGGGAGTACTCGACGGCCGGTAGCTTTTGCGGTAAGCCAAGCTGGGATAGCGCGTCCCAGCACTGTGCATTGTGGGGCGGAACGGTTTGGTAGGCAGAAGTATTACACACTCCCTAGCGGATCTCGACTTCCATGATCGCCGTCCTGCTGTCTATATGAACCGGTGCTGGGGTGGTGTTTGGGCTAATGATGTGTTTTGACTCCTACCGAGCCCAGGCGGAAGAAGGAAAGGGTGGGGGTGATAGGGACGAAAGGCCGCTGAACCGTCTGGTAGCTGACCTGCCCGTAGTCTCTTTCGTGATAGCAGATCGGCTGAGCGCACCCTGGGAACGCCGACAGGGGCAAAAGGCGTGCGGTAGACAGGGGGGGACAAAGGCTGGTGGCATAATGGCGGATGGACCCGGACGCGGGCGGGCGCCGGGTGCATGCAAGCAAGGGAGTAGAGAGCGCAATAGGGGGAGGAGGCGCTACATAGCAGCGGGAAGCCGGTCGGGCGCTGCGAAGCCTTGACCACTGAGCACCAACGAAAGGTAGCGCTGCGGGGAGAGCGGAGTGGCTGGCGGACGAACGGGGACGTGAACCTGTGTCAGGCGCAGTGGCAGAAGTTCGCAGCGGTGTTGCTGCGCACGTCGGACTTGGGCATAGGGGCGAAAGACCAATCGAACCGTCTAGGAGCCGGTTCCCTTCGAAGTTTCTCTCAGGGCAGCTGGAGCTGTTGAACACACTGCGAGAGCCACTGCTACCGGGCTACTACGCGACCAAGAGCAGCGCTAGCCAAAGGGAGGCAGAGGAAAGCGAGACGGGGAAGGGGACTGACAGAAGGGAGTGTGGGGAAACTAAGGCTAAGGAAAAGGAGATGAACCTGGCGCGAACTCGCGCCGGGTACATTCAAAGGTTGGCACAGCGAAGCTAACGAGGAAATGAGCATGGCGGGAGGGTGAGACCGTGAATCCACCGTTCCCTATCGGAATTCGGTGGGGAAAAGTACTAATCCGGGGTTTTTGGGGTGGGCGACCTCAAATCTGAGGCCGGAATTAGTGTTAGTAGAGCAAGACTGGAATTAGTAAGAAGATAGACCGTGCGGAGTGATGGTGGAGGCGGAAGAAGAAGTGGGTTCATACCCGATCAGTGACGAAATGGGGGGGGGGCGAGTGATGAAACAGGGGTTTTATGGCCAGGCGACCTCGATGGTAGCATTAGATTTAGTAGAGGAGTAGCAAAACAGAAGGTTAGTAGGAAAAAATGTGCGCTGGGTTATGGAGGAGAAGTGGTTGGGGGAGAGGAAAGAGGCTATATCTCGTCCGACTCTTAGCAAGTTCGGGCGAGACAAAGTGTTAGTCTGAAGTGTTTAGGCAAGGCGAGTTTGATGCAGTAGTTAGCCATGTGATTAGCTGCTTGGATCTGGTGTTAGTAGGGGAAGGTGGTGTGTGGTGCATACGGGGGAAGAAGAAGTCGAGCGGAGCGGAGCGCCGGGGGTGTGTGAGATAGTGCATGAGAGGGAGTGTTGAAGCAACGACGCAAGGCGCGCGCGGAGGCAATGAAGGAGGAGCTACGAAGCTACGAGGAGGAGGCTGAGAAAAGTTAGTGAACCTGGCTGGGTTTTGTGCCAGGTGCACTCGGAGGTCGGGATGGTGAGGAACGGAGACAAGCACGATCTAGCCAGCATCGACTCTCTCGATCCTTAACGGAATCGAGAGAGAAAAGATATAATCCCGGGGTTTTTTCCCCAGGCGGATCGGATGGGAGAAGTAG